GCCCTCCCCCACTTCTGAGGCTCTCAGATATTAACAGACTGCACAACAAAGATCTTCTTCCCTAGGAGGTAGCCTCCAGCTCAGTCTCAGGGTAGTCCCACATCAGGTACATCATTTAAGAAAGATTTGAGTGGGGGCGGGGAGAAGGGTTGTCTTTCTAATGACCACATCCAAAGTCTTTAGGCAGGGAGAAGGACAAGCAAAAAGTAGAAGACATAAGGGAACACCGAGACCTAGAAAAAGTCAAAGAGCGAGTAACTCCACACCCCATATCAAATAGCACCCTTTCCCACACAGAGCCTGGTCTACACTAGGACTTTAGGTTGAATTTAGCAGCATTAAATCGATGTAAACCTGCACCCGTCCACACGATGAAGCCCTTTATTTCGACTTAAAGGGCTCTTAAAATCGATTTCCTTACTCCACCTCTGACAAGTGGATTAGCGCTAAATTGGCCTTCGCTGGCTCGAATTTGGGGTACTGTGGACACAATTCGACAGTATTGGCCTCCGGGAGATATCCCAGAGTGCTCCATTGTGACCGCTCTGGACAGCACTCTCAACTCAGATGCACGATTGTTTGCCGTTGCTCTGACGCAGGGAGGGGCGACTGAGGACACGGCTTACAGGGTTGGCTTCAGGGGAGCTAAAATCAACAAAGGGGGTGGCTTTACATCAAGGAGTATTTCAGGCAGGACTTCACGGAGGGTTCCAATAAGAAATGGTGCACCTAAGTTATTGTTCTTATTGGAACAAGGAGGTTAGCCTGGCCTCTGATTGATACATGGCTAGATTTACCTCGCTGCACCTTCTCTGTGAGTGACTGCAGTGTGACCTAGAGGAATGAGTCCCCTAGACAGGGGAGTGGGGGAAGCAAATGAGTGCAAAACAAGTCTGGTCTATTTCTTGTTTTGATCCACTCCATCTATCTTTTACATCTTTGGCTGGCAGCAGACGGTGCAGAAGGACTGCATGCCATCCACATCTCATGGCTGCTCGGCAAAAGATGGTACAGTACGACTGCTAGCCATCCTCATCTCTTGCCTGCCCGGCAGAAGATGGTACAGTACGACTGCTAGCAATCCGTATCGCCTGCCTGCTCACCATAAGACGGTTCAATAGGACTGACTGCAGGACTAAAGAGAATGACTTGGTCAAATCACTCCAAATTTAGTCCCTGCGCCCATGTCTGCCCAGGCGCTCCCAGCCGACGTGGCCAGGAGCACCTCGGACACGACGAGGACGGCTACCAGTCATATTGCACCGTCTTCTGCCAGAAGGCAATGGCTTGCTGCTACTGTGTAGCAATGCCGTACCGCGTCTGCCAGCACCCAGGAGACATACGGTGACGGTTACCTGAGCGGGCTCCATGCTTGCCGTGGTATGGCGTCTGCACAGGTAACTCGGGAAAAAAGGCGCAAAACGATTGTCTGCCCTTCCTTTCACGGAGAGAGGGAGGGAGGGAAGGGGGGCCTGACGATATGTACCCAGAACCACCTGCGACAATGTTTTAGCCCCATCAGGCATTGGGATCTCAACCCAAAATTCCAATGGGCGGCGGAGACTGCGGGAACTGTGGGATAGCTACCCACAGTGCAACACTCCGGAAGTCGACGCTAGCCTCGGTACTGTGGAAGCGCCCTCCGCTGAGTTAATGCCCTTCATGCACTTAGAGCATTTTCTGTGGGGACACACACACTCGAATATATAAAACTGATTTCTAAAAAAACCGACTTCTATAAATCCGACCTTATTCCGTAGTGTAGACATACCCCTAGACTCTTTACATAGTAGGCATTCTCTCAACACTGATTCCTTCACTGGAGCCAGGGCCATCCTACCCTCTGCAGCTCTTCTCCTGATAGCATGCAGCCCATAGCACCCCACAAACGAGGCTTCCTGCAGCTATCTAGGCAGTTCCTTTCCTTAGAAGGCTTCACTCACTGTAGGAGTATTCTTCACCTGCACTGTAGTAACCATTTATCAGCTCCAGGTGCTCATTAAAAAAATTAGTTTCCAACCACCTACCTAGGCAATTAATTGGCAGGTGGGCCAAGATTGGCTCGTTCTCCTTAAAGACGTCAGTTCTAGGTAGACTGAGCTCTGATTCCCCTTAAAGGGACCAGCTACCCTGTGACAATACATAAGGAAATGTGCTTCCTAAAAATATGTTTTAATATAAGAGTGTTCCTTTAAACACAGTTTAGTCAAGTCAGCCAGTGTGGAGAAGTTGAAAAATGAATTTAGAAACTGTGTTCTAGCTCAGGTAGAAATCTGGGCTAGAACACAGCTTCTAAACTAAATTTAGACATGCTTTTGTCCTGTTCATGCTGGCCAGTCTAACACAGTTTAAACAGAATTAGCTTGAACTGATTTTAAATTGTATTACCAAAATAGTCTGAATAACATGGCTCCCAGTCCCCTTTAGATTTGGCCTTACTGCCCTTTCTTAGAATCACTCTGCACACTTAAACTGAAGAGTAGGGTTGCGCTACAAACCCTCCCTGTATCTGTATTAGCAAAAGTGTGTCCAAAATTGTACTTACACCAAAAAACATAGTTGTAGCAAGGCAGTTAGCTACTTACTAGAAACTATGGTCACATCTGCTACAAGAGGCCAATATCAGATCCTAGGATTTGGAATGTTCAGAGACCGTAAATGGACAAACTGTTTCCCCTCCCTTTTCACCAATTGAGCAATGTCCAAGGACAATAAAGATTAGAATGGAAGTTCGGCGCCCAAATCCTTTTGAGGATCTGGACCCAACTGTCTGCCTTACATTTTCAAAAAAAAACGCTGGGTGCACTCTGCCCACAACAGCCATCCCACGTCATGAGAGCTTTGAGCCTGATTCATTTTTATGTGTACAAATTCAAACCATCTGAGATCCCAGCATCTTTATTTCTTCGACCCATTCCTTCCCAAGATGGTTGTTATTATTATTATTTTAATTATAAAATACAGTAGAACCTCAGATTTACAAACATTTCAGGAATGGAGGTTGTTTGTAACTCTGAAATGTTCGTAGCTCTGAAAAAAACGTTATGGTGGTTCTTTCAAAAGTTGACAACTGAACATTGACATACAGCTTTGAAACTTTACGATGCAGAAGAAAAATCTTGTTTTTCTCTTTTTTAATAGTTTACATTTGACAGTACTGTACTGGATTTGCTTTTTGTTTGTTTGTTTGTTTTGTTTCTGCTGCCGCCTGATTGTGTACTTCTGATTCCAAATGAGGCGTGTGGTTGGCTGGTCAGTTCGTAATTCTGGTGTTCATAACTCTGAGGGTCTACTGTGTATAGTGATGCTTAGGAAAGAATAAAAGGCTCAGGTCACATCTTAAAATGCATGCTGTGTATCCAAAAATGAATGATTAAAATTGTGTGTATGTGTAACATATATACACTCCAGGTCGGTTACATGCACATGGGCAGCTTTAGTGAACATGCAAGCCCTTTATCTGAGATCCAAATAGAGGGCCAAATATTGCCCTCCATTGTGCAGGGGAAACCTCCCCCAAACCTGCCGAAGTGAAGAAGAGTACTTCCACAGCATCACCAGAGACCATAGATACTCTCCATGCAAGAAATGCAGGATGGCTGGGGTTCTGTAGTTTTGGGGTTGGCAGGCCAGGGAAGGTATGTGAGAACGGCTGGGGTGCAGTCACTCGCTGCGCCATGATCCCCTGTATTGCAGGAATTCACAGAAGCAACACCCTTCCATTCCTGCAATCCCTCAGCACGCTGGAGGTGAGGGAGCAGGGAGGGAGAATGATTTATGCAATTGCAGGGAATAATAGGGACAGTGTGTCCTTTTTAAAAATAGCATTACTAAAACATTTTAAAACATTCCCCATGTTCTTGACCCAGACCCTGCCATCTCATTATTTATTGTATACTGTTTTTTCTGGACCATTACTGTAGGTACATTAGCCGGTGTCTATGCTCAGTTGTGTCATTATTTACATATTGGCTGGTTTTCTACAAATATAAGAACCAAGTAATTTTTTCAATTGTTCTTGTATGTGTGTGTGGATGTGTGTGTGTGTGTAGGCCAGGCTGGAGGAGGTTATAAATCTGATTCTCTGTTGCCCTCTATTTTGAGAGTCATTTAACCAGTGCAAATTGGGGTAAAACGCAACCATTCTGATTTAGCAGCATTTTACACTCTCTTTGCGCTGAAGTAAATGATTACACAAGGTCCAGGGCAATCTATGTACATCACAGCACACAGCCCAGCAGAGGGCTCATCACTCAAGCAGCCTTTGGCCTCTATATGAAGTAGCTCCACTTCATTCAAGAGCCAGGATTAGATAGACCACTTCTGCATAATTCAGTTCAAACAAGAAAACATGGTATGGAAATCATAGCACTGAAAAGAAATGGATCATTGTCTATTTAACAGTGAAAAGCAAAGGAGAAGCATTGAAGAACTAATTTATGCCAGCAACACAGATCTAAACCATGGTTTGCATTATGTGACACGTAGAAACCAGACAAAGCCAAATACACATTTATATCAAAAATGCAGAGGGATGCCATTTATTTGCAAATAAAAGCTCATCTTCAGGGTAGGAGTTGTGTCTTTTCTTTGGCCCCATCCTGCAAAAATACCAATGATTAATTTACCACGATGAATAGTCCCATTGAAATCAGTGAGACCATTCATACATAAGTGTTTGCAGGATCGGGGCCTATGTTCGTACAGTGCCCTGCACAAAGGGGTATCAAATCCTTACAAGAGCCTTTGGATGTTGCCATAATATAAATATTTAATAATAATTAATTAATTAATAATAGAGTAAAGCAAATGACTGAGCAAAGGAAGAAATGGGAAGAACTCTGTAGGGAATCTAGGGAGAGGGGAAACTATAAACACATTAAACCCAGTAGGTGCACCAGGAATACGCTTTAACTGAGTGTTTAGTTGCCAAAATTATCTGCAGACAGCAGCCCCAGTTTTTGGGTGCTGCGGTCCCTTTAAGAATCTGGTCCGGCACAGATCACATGAGCAGCATTTCGGAGCACAGCGAGAGGGGCTTGCTGCAGGCTCTCTTCTCTTCAGCTCCATTTTGCAGCCGCCGCCGCACAGGAAGCAGCCATAGGCTGAGATTAACGGTTTAGTAGAAAGGGAAAGTTCCTTGCAAGGATTCAAGATGCCCATGTTTGTTGTTAACACCAACGTGAGCAAGGATGCAGTGCCACAGAGAGCCTGACTGGGGAGATCACCCAGCAGCTAGCAAAGGCTACGGGCAAGCCTGCCCAGGTGAGTTCAGGGGGGTAACCCTCCCTCCTCCTCCCCACCCCCTTGGGCATGTAGGTAACTTGCATGCAGGAAGGGCAAACTGTACAACGTAAGGACGTCGTAGCTAGCCTGAATCCTTGGTGCTGTTCTCCTGGATGCTTCCTTTCTAGCCTAGAGGAAATGGAAATGAGTCTCTTGTAACGAGTCTCCGTGTAAAAGGGAGACCTCTAATTGTTGCTGCTGCTGCAGGCAGCTTTGAGGTCAGTCGGTCGCCTGGGAGTGCGGCGAGACAGGGTGGAAGGACTGAGTGAGCGCATGGAGGCTTGCTGGCATGGCCCGGGGGAGGGGGAGTTGGGTTCTTCTCCTCCTCCTCTGCCAATGGAATAACTGAATGTGCGTCTGACCAATATGTAGACTGCATAATGAGGCCAGTCTCCCTCGTGGGCAAGGCCAGGGTGTTGGTTCTCTAGGTGCAGGAGTGGGTCCTCGCATGCTTAGCTTCTAGAAAAGCAAATGAGATAGCTCTCAGAGTAAACAGCCGTGTTAGTCTGGATTCGCAAAGAAAAGGAGTACTTGTGGCACCTTCAGACACTAACCAGTTTATTTGAGCATAAGCTTTCATGAGCCACACTCACTTCACCGGATGCATACTGTGAAAGTATAGAAGATCTTTTATAAAGCACCCATTTTTTCATGCTTTGTGTGTATAAAAAAGATCTTCTATACTTTCCACAGTATGCATCTGATGAAGTGAGCTGTAGCTCACGAAACTTATGCTCAACAAATTGGTTAAACCCTAAGGTGCCACAAGTACTCCTTTTCTTTTTGAGATAGCTCTGTTTACTGTAGTTGTGTTTGTGGGAGGGAACTGTTCTGTTAGAATAGGTAGGTCTTCACTGTAATGGGTGTATAGATTAGGAATATTCATCATATAAACATATTGTGTTTCTTACTAACCTGGCAAGCTCTTCTCATCAAGTATTTAGGGTGACCAGAGAGTAAGTGTGAAAAATCGGGGCTGGGAGTGGGGGTAATAGCCCCAAATATTGGGACTGTCCCTATAAAATTGGGACATCTGGTCACCCTACAAGTATTTTTCTCTATTGATGTCCACAAAAGCCGGATCAAAGTGGGCCTTTGCTATTAAAGAATGATGTGTACAGAAGACTAATGCTATGTGAGGTCACTTTTTCCCTTGCTGATTTGGGCTGCAGTGAGGCCCAGTGGGTTGGAAAAACTTTCTGGCATAGAGGGCAGCAATGGGTAAGAGAGAGAGTGTGACAGCCCCAGGTAGCTGCAGAAAATTCATCTTAAAAATAAATACAGTTTCAAATCCTATTCAGTCACAAAAAATGTTTATCTACCATCTAGCACATATAGAGGCTCCTGGTCCCTATAGCTCTCAAATCACTTTACAAGCGTGGGTATGTGGCTCCACGGGCTTGCCCAAGGTCATACCGTGGCTATTATCAATGCTCGCATTATCTTTTTTTTAAAATTTCCCACTTGTGCTACTATAATGGAGCTAAAGCTCTGGGAGTATCAGGGTAGACAGCCCATTAGTGTTTTGATCACCCAATCATCTTTATGGGCCCCTGAGCAGGGTTAGGAGATGAGGTGGCCAAAATGCCAATGGTCTTTCTCCATCAGCATGAGTTACGGTCACACTACTGGAGTTGTACCAGTGTGAAATGTGAACAAAAAGGTTAGTTTACACACCACCAGTGAATTGGTGGCAGAGCAAGCAAGAGAACAGAGTCCTCCTGACTCCCTGTCCTGTGCTAAATCTACTAGACCGCAGATGCCTTAAAATGTTATAGATTTATGGGAGCAATCTGACTGGTCAATGGCCCCGGGATGTGCACCTGCTTACAACTTGTGTGGGAAGCTAACAATTACAGCCCTCACCAATGGCTAAACATCAGCTGGCTAGACAGCGAGTTGATGCAGGCATGAGTCTCAATGAGAAGGATCACCACACCTTTGCAGGAGGTGGTTGATGTCTTTATTTAAAAATTACAGAATTATTTAAAAAAGGGAAAAAATATAAGCTGGGAGCTAAATCACTCACATGTCTGACTAAGGTACTATACTACTGTAGTGGATGCTTTAGAAATGTGTATGATTAAACACCATTTGTGCTTGCAGTAGCTAATTCCAGAAAAACAAGCCTGCTCTCTGGATTCCAAGTAAATACACATCAGGAGAGCGTGGAATATTACCTGATCACTGGTTGTTGATTTGTTTCACAGTACATAGCTGTGCACATTGCAGCTGATCAGCTTATGTCCTTTGGGGGCTCCACCGATCCTTGTGCCCTTTGCAGCCTTCACAGCATTGGCAAGATAGGAGGGCAGCAGAACAAGAGCTATACCAAGCTGCTGTGTGACTTGCTCACTAAACAGCTGCACATACCTGCAGACAGGTAAGGCTGCACCAGAGTGACATTCCAGTTATCCGCTTATCTAAAATTACTTTTTTGGATTCTTTATTATGCTCTCTGGTTGTCTGTTATTGCTTTTCGCACCTGAGGGGTTGTTTTTCCCTCCCACGCGCACCTGAGGGTGTTTTTTTTCCAGCTTTATTTCCAGTAAAATACTGCAAAATATGGCTCTTTCAGGCAGACTCTAACTGGAAAGTCCTCATCATGCAAGCCTTTACTAAAAGAACTGAATCTATTCTGAGTAAGGAGCACGGTTGTTCTAAAATCTGAAAAGGTGCTGGTGCCATTAATTGGCTTTTTCTTGGACGGAATGGTTCAGGCTGGCTCTCAATCTTTCCAGACTATCATCCCTTTCAGGAGTCTGATTTGTCTTGTGTACTCCTCAAGTTTCACCTCACTTAAAAACTACTTGCTTACAAAATTAGACATAAAAATACAAAAGTGTCACAGTACAATTTACTGAAAATAAGGCTGTACACTTCTTATTTTTACCATAAATTATAAAATCAATTGAAATATAAATATTGAATTTACATTTCAGCACATATTATATATTGATTAGCATAAATAAATCATTGACTATATGAAATTTTAGTTTGTACTGACTTCACTAGTGCTTTTAATGTAGCTCATTGTAAAACTAGGCAAATATCTAGATGAGCTGATGTACCCACTGAAGACCTTTCCGGGTCCCTGGTTGAGAACCACTTGGCTAATAGACTCAATTCTAATCCTAATGGCTGACTAATGCAGTATAATCTGATCTTCAGGGGTTAGGTGAAATAAGGATGAACGGATGTATAATATTCAGTGTGCTCCCTCCCCCCTCTTTGGGGGGGCACGAAGGGAGATCCTTGGGCAGATTGGGGACCCAGAAGAATGCAAGCACTTTACAGGCAGCTGCAGTTCTGTCAGCCAGCATAGGGAGAAGCAGCTGTGCTCAGTGGCAAACAGCAGGAGGAAGCTGCTGCTGCCTATGCCTGGAGAAGCAGGAGCTGCAGGCAGCCAGGAGAGTCCATTTGGTTTTGGAAAAGGTTGCAGCACTCAAAAGAGCCCTGGAAACCTTTGATTATCTCCTGCAGTTCCAGACATGTCACTAAATGACGTGTTTTTAACTAAGAGCTTGGAAAATCAAGAAAGAAAAGGCAGTGTGCTCAGAGGCTGCAGCCTTGGCAAACCCAGCTCTATGCTTGCAAAGTATTGGAGAAGGGAATGGGTGGTAGCTTCTGGGCTTAAGCCAAAATTTACTGGTAGAAGATCTTGCTAGCTTTTCTAAAAATTAAAATGGGAATTGTGAACCCACATCCCTTGAGAGTGGGAGGGGGAGTGATATTCCTTCCCCTTCTCTCCCTCCCCCGGTTTCCTATATAGGTAATAATGTGATAGCTTTCATGCACTATAAGCATCTAAAATACTTGTCATGACAACATTTTTACCTTTTTTTTTTTTTTTTTTTAAACAGAGTCTACATCAACTATTATGACATGAATGCTGCTAATAGGGGCTGGAATGGTTCCACCTTCCAAAGGTCACTCCTATGTGAGCAAAGAGGTCTATTCCTGGACCTGCACACATCTCCTGCCTATTAGCAGACCATGGCACAAGTTGCCCTTCCTGCATTTTGTGCACTGTCACGGATGACGTTTCCTTGCTAGTGTGTTCACATGACTGTTTAACATTCCTTTTTGTTGGACATGTAGAAAATAAATAATAAAGATTTGTGAAGGAAGTGGCATGGCGTGAGCTCTTCCTTTAGGATCGGGAGGGAGTTTGCCAGCCTAATAACAAGTGTTTTTCTGTCCTCTTGAACCACTGGAACCTCAGGAACAAGGGGTGAGGCAAAGTCATATTAGTTTTCAGTGACTCAAAATGGAAATGATTCAGATTGATGACTGGCACCAGGGTGGTTAGAATGAGTTTTACTTTTCCAAACATCATAGGACTGGGCATGTATTTACACAAGACTTAAAAACACATGCACAATCTTATGATGCTTTTGAAGAGGTAATATTGCTGGTTTTCAAAATTAAGAAATGAAATGGCTGCCAGCTCCTGGCATTTCTGTGAAGACTGCCTGCCATCCTTGGGATTTCAGAAGGGAGTCACATCAGAGGATATGTTCAGTTAAGAAATCTGCTTTAAGTGTAGAGCATTCACCAGCGATCAAAATGGATGTAGCATACGTCTTTGTTCCTTTCAATTCCATATTGTATAGCGCATGAAGGTAAATCTTAAAATGCATTGTAATCCAGGTGTCCTTTCAGTGCCCATTTTAGAAAGGGGCAATGTTCAAATCTGTGTCTAACTATCTCACCTATGCACACTCTCATTGGCCAGGTAGGTGCACAAGAATGTTCTTAGCTGGGTAGTGGCATGCCTTGCAAAATTCTACTTGCCTAGTGGTTGAGCTGGCATAAGAACATAAGCACGGCCATACTGGGTCAGACCAAAGGTCCATCCAGCCCAGTAGCCTGTCTACTGACAGCGGCCAATGTTGTGTGCCCCAGAGGGAGTGGGAACCTAACAGTAGTAATGATCAAGTGATCTTTCTCCTGCTATCCATCTCCACCTTCTGACAAACAGAGGCCAGGGACACCAGTCCTAGCATATTTCGCCGCCCATCGGAAGCCGACATAAAAGGACGATCCTTTCTTGGAAGGGTTGCTGAGTGTTGCCTGGTGCGGGCAGGCTCTCCTGGCAGCCGAGACTCTGGCAGGGCCCCCTGGTGCTACTCGCTGCTGTTGCCGCCCAGCCCCAGACCCCGGTGATGCTGTGCAGGGGTGACCAGCCCGCCTTAGGAGGCTGCCAGCCGAGGTGTGGCTGGGCCAATGGCGAGGAGGGGCTGTTCAGGGAGACCTCCTGGCTGGGGCCTGGCCCAGTAACCCAGAGAGGAACAGAGCAGTGGCCAGAGCCCGAGGCAGATTAAACAACCGCCCCGCCAGACGGGGACGGATGGGGTGGAGCCCGGCCTGGCCACAGCCTGGAGCCAGGCCGAGTCGTCTGGGCAAAGGCGCCCGCCGCCTCTTCGCGCCTCCCAGGCTCTAGGGGCGATGGCGGCCGCCGGGCTCTCCAGCTGTGCAACCAGTCGCAAACGTGGGGAGCACGGTGCCGGCTGACGTCATCTGAGAGCGCCGGCTGACGTCATCGAGAGCGCCGGCAGCGGGGAGGTGGGGGTGCAGGATCCGGAGGTCGGGCTGCGGAACGGCGGCGCTTTTCCCTCATCAACAGGTAAGCGGGAAAGAGAGAGAGAGCTCGGGTTGGGTTGGGGGGTCGGGGGAGACGAACGGAGCCCGGGAGGGCGCGGCGCGTGGAGCAGAGCACGAGGAGGCGGCGGCGGCAGGAGCAGGCCCACGTGTGTCGGGGGAGGGGCGCTGCTGGGGCCTGTGGTGGGCGTCCCGCGGGGTGGCGGAGACAGGCTCCGCCGAGGGGGGGTGTCAGGGCGATACTGCCCTGCCAGGCTGGGCAGGGGTCGTAACGCGGCGTTACTCCTGCGGCTCATCCAGTTACGTGAAATCGTATTTCACACTGTGTATGGGGGATCCACCCATTTCGGGACCCAAACACGCAAAGCAGCCCCCAGAATCACGAGATTGTCTTAAAAATCCTGGAGATCGTTTTAAATCATGAGTTCTTGTGGGTTTGCTGTCAGGTTTTGGAGCCGTCACGCTGCACCTGGTGCCGTGTTTTCAATATTTTCTCTAGGGTCATAAGACTTTGGTTTAAATGCCTGCGTTACCGTGGTTAATACAAGATTACAAAAAGGAAGTACCTCTTAATTGGCTACAAAGATGTAGACTAGAGCAGTGCTTCTTAATCAGAGGTACATGTACCCCTGGAGGTACACAGGTCTTCCCGGAGGTACATCAACTCATCTAGATATTTACCTGATTTTACAATAGGCTACATTAAAAGCACTAGTGAAGTGGGTAGAAACAAAAATTTCATACAATTACTTGTTTGTTCTGCTCTCTATATACTAAAATGTAAGTACAATATTTATATTCAAATAGATTTATTTTATAATTATATGGAAAAATAGAGAGAAAGTAAACAATTTTTTGGTAATAGTGTGCTTGGACACTTTTTGTATTTTTATGTTTGATTTTGCCCAGCAAGTAGTTTTTTAAGTGAGGTGAAACTTGGGGGGTATGCAAGACAAATCAGACTCCTGGAAAAGAGGTACAGTAGTCTGGAAAGATTGAGATCCACTGGCCTAGATTATTGTGCCTTCCTATGATATCTAGTTGACTGTGAAACTGAATTTTGTTGCCTTTTCTCTGCCCGAGTAAGAATGTGAAAAGGGTGGTTACAGCCTCCTGTTGTAGTGCTTGCTGTGGTATACTTAAAGTGTTTTCTAGTGAAACATTCAGATACCTTAGCGGTGAGAGGATGCTATCATGAGGGACCGGTCACAGGCCCTGTTAGAACGGCTGCGAAAAACAGGCTAGAGCCAGGCAACTGAAAAGCAGCAG